TGAGCTGGAGAAAATCATGGAGAAATATAACCTGAAGGATAGACCACAGGCCATCTACAACATTGATGAAAAAGGCATACTGTACACGTAGTTGCAAACCACACACCTCCATCGATTGTGTCCTCACGCCATGAGACATATGTACCTTGATCCAGCAGTCACCATGGGCAAATCATCTACATGTACTACTACTGTACTGTCATTGGCTGTGGTAATTCCCTTGGGATGGCTTTGCCTCCATTTTTCATCTTCATAGGACAACAAATGCAACAGGAATTCTGGTCAGGTTATACACCTACATGTAGTACAGGAGGTGCAGTCAATGATTTGAGTTGGTCTAACTCTGACATTTTGGAGAGATATCTCAAAGAGCACTTCATGAAATACTCCATTCATGCTACATCAGATGAACCTGTCTTGATCCTAAATGTACAATGTATATGATTGACACAAGTCACACATGTCTCTTTCACTCATTCCATGGGCACAGGACCACATCATCATTTTGTTGTGCTTCTAGCACACACCTCTCATATCCTCCAGCCAATGGACATCGGATGTTTTGGACCATTTGAAAAAATCTTAAATGCTATGCGACACGCTTGCATGAGAAATCATGCAACAACTGGCATTGACAAGTATTCCTTATTTGAGATAGATTGCGAAGCATATGTAAGTGCCTTACACTAACCTGCAAGCATCATTTTGAAAGTCTGATATCTACCCAGTTGACCGATGTGCTGTCAACCCATCAAGTTTTATGCCAGCTATAGTTTACTTTTTACTCCATCACAAGCCTACAGTCCAGCTACGTTTGCCTCCTCTGTCACAGCAGCTGATGATGTGACAGAAAGACGCAATAACGTTTTCAAGACTGCTCAAGCAGTGCTAAGAGAGAATAAAAAGGGAAAAAAAGAAGCAAAATGTCCTCAGCACTGTGGTGGGAGGTTAAAACAATAACAGAAGAAGAAGTTGTGAATAGCATAAAACAATATCAGGAGCTACAGAAAATGAAACCAATGAAATCTGTCAACAGCTAGGTCACCCAAGCTAAATACATGTGCACTGTACTTCCGGGATCAGTCAGAAAAGAAAGAGGTACAGTCAACTGTATAGTCAACTGCCAGCAGCTACTCATGATGAAGATACTGATGAATCTGAAACGGGTCCGAGGGACCTTTGCTACAAATGCAAACAATTCCAGCCAGTGGAACTGCAATATATTGACACAATTGTGTTGGTTAAATGGGCCTAATGCGCATATCCAGACTGTAATCATTGGGTACATCTACAATACTGCACTTCACTCTGCGTTGTTCGTACACATTCAGAATTTTATTACATCTGCCACCATTAGTCAGAAGAATAAAATGAAGCAAAATTGCAGTGGCGACAAAATACATGTATACTGTTTTATTTACCGTAGATCCTGAATATTCTTTTTAAAAAATGTCTTTGAAGAATCTTACATGTAACTCACAGTACAAACTTCTGTGATGTAAAAAGATTACAAAACGTTGGAAATTATGCATTAAGGGAATTATAAAACAAGGCAAAGTGATACATACATGTCTTCTTCCATGACTTTAGGAGAGGAAAACTTAGCATTCAGGTTTTATTGAAGCAAAAGGACAGATCCTACGAGAAACACAGTTCACTTTTCCATCTGTAGTCCTCCTTTCAACCTCCAAGAATTTTTTTTAAAGGGTGGAACTGAGAGTACTCCTTTTGTGTTGTTTGCACACGTTCAAATGTCTGGTGAACTTGTCACCAGTTAAGTAAAAAAAAATGAAACTGAACAATGTGAGAAATCACAGTGAATGATTTTATTCTGAACTTTTGAGTGCAACACTGTATTAGTTTTAAATCCATAATGCTCTAAACAAAACATGCTCTAAACATGCTCTGGACTGTATAGAATTTGAATTTATAAAACTGTGACAATTTTTTGAAAAGATCACAAATTGCAATCCAAAATGCACGATGCCATATGGTTAGGGAAATTTCTCGGTGAAGGTATATGCCGTTCTAGCTGACACCCCTTTAACCCTCCAAAAAAGAAACTCAAGATGTTGAAAAAGAGAAAACTCCTCATGTTGACAGCCAAAATGCAAGTTTTAAATGATCCCTTATACGTGTAACTAGTCCTTTTGTTGATTCAACAACCTAGAGGCCTAAGTGAAAGTGATAACTTATAAGTTGCAGTTTCCAAGTTCAACACTTTTGCAGAACTGTTACTTTTAAACTGCACGTACATCACAGGTACATGTATAGGAGAATTTAGCTTTTTTATTTAGATGTTGTTTCTGAATTTCAGTCTTTATGTACACCTGGTTTGTACAAAAGTATGGGAACTTTTTATATTTCAGCTTTTTGCTAGCTGTTTTCAACCTTAATTTTTAGTGGCCACTCATACCCCTGCGTATGTCTCTTGTTTGTATTTTCCAGAAAGATGGCTGAAGATTCTATAGAAGAGAAGAAGCCTCTGCTTAACCGCGGCAGTCGATCAAATTCTGCTAATGAAGCTAAAGGATCGTCTCCTCATAGCCCTGCCTATGGCTTGTCCAAATGGAGGCGTCGCGGAGCAAGTGGGGCAATCCTGCTTACTGTCATGTTTGAGAGGTTGACATTTTACGGCATATCAGCCAACTTAGTTATGTTTCTGAATGAGCATCCATTTGCCTGGCTGTCCTATGATGCTGCAAACGCTGCTTTAATCTTTGTTGGCGTGTCTTATGTCTCTTCTGTCCTTGGGGGACTCTTGGCTGACACCTTGTTAGGACGATTTAAGATGATCGTCGTAAGCTTCATCACCTACATCTTGGGCAGTACCCTTCTTGTCTTGCTTGGATATGGCTCCAAAAACGAAGACTTTCGAATCAGTTTGTGTGGGAATAACACTTTGCCAGATGTGGATATTCATCCGAGGCATGAACTAACGGCAACTCCAACAACCACGACTGAGACTGGATTCATGTATTGTGGGTGGGCCGTGTATCTTAGCCTAGTGGTGATTGCTTTAGGAGCTGGCTCAGTCAGATCCAACTTATCACCATTTGGAGGTGATCAGGTATGAAGAAACATGACAATATCTCACCAACATTAGATCTAGAATAAGACACCAGCAGACTGCAGCATATAACATGGACGGAGATCCAACCAATATCCATGATAAAGGGATTTCCTACATGTACATGTAGTTCAATGCTCATTTTTGTTTCACTTCAACAAGTTCCTTGGTGTTCACTGTACATAATGCTACATGTATCTGTCATCAGTGGAAGCATTGATTCTAGATTTAGCTGTAATTAATGACACATCTGTATGGTAATACAAGGGCTACTTTCCAACTGCGGCACTGTTTATGGTATTCTCACAGGTACACTCTGAAAATCATGTTTGCCTGTGTTCGGTTACTACATACATGTAGTACATGTACAAGTCCTGAGAGACCTGTATCCATCTCACAATATTTGTTTGAATCAGTGAAGTGCCAAATTAATTGAGGTGTTTTGTGTTGGTAATGAGCAAGGATTGTAGAAGATGCAAACAGCATTCAGTAGTCCACTCCACAGTTTATTACAAGACTTGTAACCTCCAGAGAAGTCCTACATTTGCCATGGTTAGTTCACTGTGACTCTCTGACTTTGTTTATTCCAGGTTAGGTACGAGGGCCCCGAAGTCATGCGAACCTTCTTCAATTGGTTTTACTGGGCAATTAACGTGGGTTCATTGTTGGCGATTGCTGGTGTCACCGCCTTGCAGCAAAATGTGGGCTTCTTCTCTGGCCTCTTAGTGCCTCTTGCAACTCTGGTTGTTGCTACCTTTGTCTTTGTCATTGGGAGAACCTGGTATCTGTCCAAGAAACCTATGGGTAGTGTGTTGACTAATACATCCAAGATCATCATGGAAGCATTCAAACAACAGAAAGTTAGGAAGACAATGCTGCATAGACAGGATAGGTAGGTTTCTGGTTTTAGAGTAAAGATTGTACACATTTACCCGTATTTCTCTTTTTTTAAAAAAATGTACATGTATATTCAAAAGATAGTTGGGGTGACACCTAAAAATAGTTTTGCTCCAAACTAAAACTAAAAGATACCTGTAGATGGTCACAGATTTCCTCAATTTCTCAGGCCTCTTGATCCCCATGGTATGGTAGTCTCAAGGAGAGAAGTCTTGAGCCAGGTGTAAAATGAAGCGAAGGACCATTGATGAGTAATGAGTAATTCTACCTGTAGTTACCACCTGTCTCATAGTCAAAGGGTAGACATGTACAGAACTACATGTACATGTATGTGGGTTAATGAAAGCCATGCTTGAGGAGGATATTACTCACATTGGTGGGACATTTTCCATGAGCTGACTGGTGTACATGTATGACTGACAGGCCATTAACATCACAGTGGAACAGCAAAATCTTCAAGGGAAAGTCAAGGAACATTTTGTGATATTTCTGCTGCAATGTATTGAGGAACCAAAGATCATGTACGGGTGTATGGGGTAGACCTGTTCCACATTGTGATGCCCAAAGATCGTATAGCACCGCAAAGCGGCGCAAGATGAAGAACTTCACCGCAAATACACGTAAAACGTTGTAATCTCATAGGCGCCATTTGAGCAAGCGATATGCCTGCGCAATGCACATTACTGCTTAGGCGCAGGCGCCGTGGCAGGCACATGCACCTGGTGAGCCTGCACCTAAGCATTACCATAAACTGCACAGGCGTATCGCTTGCTCAAATGGCGCCCATGGTAATTACATCTTTTAGGCAGAGTTATCCATCTTGCACCTTCGGCGCTATACGATCTTTGGTGATGCCTACTTTATAAAGCTCCTTCAACTGGTTTTGTACTCTGGAACAATGCAAGGATGAGACAGTGTGAATACAATATTGACTGCCTTGAGTGGGGTATTAATGCAAGGATGAGACAGTGTAAATACAATATTGACTGCCTTGAGTAGGGTACTAATGCAAGGATGAGACAGTGTAAATACAATATT